CTTTGTCGTCCCAACCTTCATTGCTTGTTAGTGCAGGAAAAATCCCATTCCAATTCCAATAGCACTGAGGTAACAGTGTATCATAGATCAGCAGATCTGTGACTGGAAGTGTCTCTCATTTGTGGGATACCAGAGACACTGGAGACACCACATCATTCTTACCATCTGTGTAATGGAGGTCTTTGCATTCTTTGACTATTCTTGGAGTAAACTTCGGGTCATAGGGCCTACTCATCTGTTCCCTCTTAGGACACTTCTTGCATCCATGGCAAAGATTTATACTCAGCCTGGAAAGTTGTCTCTGGGTCTTTCCATAGAGAGGCTTATTGGATTGAGTTGCTATTGGAATAAATATACTAATGCTGATCCCACTTTTTAGTGGCCAGATGGTGGATCTTTCGAATTGGAAAAACTTCTATATTTGAAAAAATTTTAGAGACTTCTCATTCTAAGCAATACCTTATTGGTTTTTATGGGAAGATCAATTTGGAAATCCCTTGGATTCTTAACTTCTGCAGGGACTCTCATTGCTAATGGGCATGTAATTGCTGTCCTGTCACAAGTTGTTCCCCTCCCTTCTAAAATTGCCAATGCTCACTGATCAGACCATATACAGAGGAAACTGATGGTACATCTTTAGGAAATGGTAGAGCTGACAGCTGCCCAAAACACAGCTCCAGATGGACCTCCTTATCCTCTCTCCACCCAGTTTCTAACCCAACCTATATCCCTGACTGATATTAATCATCAGACAAATGCCTCAAATCTGAAAAGGACGCTTGGACACAAAAGGGTGCAAAGCAATTATCAGATGGATCATATATTGGGCCAAACTGGATTCCTACATCCCCTTTTCTTTTAACCTTTTGGCTTGCACTTATCTCCCACAAATGGGACATATGTGCAAATGGGGGATAATTAAAGAAGTAAGACAATTGGCTTTGCCCTGACACCCACAAAATTTATGACCAAATCATTTCCCAGTGCAATACTTATAAATCTCACCAAATCTCTGGAAGAAATCAATATACACCATAAAGACCTCCTGAGCCCACACTGCCCTTTGCAGACTTCAAATGGATTTTATAGACTTGCCCCCAACCTTGGCTGTTCCCACTGGTTGATCATTGTGAATGTCTACCGGATGGACTGAATGCTCTCTGACTGGACATGCTGATACCACAACAGTGGTAAAAAAAATTAATATCTGAGATTATTCCTTATTTTGGCAGTCCTTTCGTAATTGAGTTAGACCAAGGAACTCACTTTACAGCAGAGATAAACCACCTGCTTGCAAAAACTCTGGAGTACTCATTAAAATCCTCAATCATCAAGGCAAGTGGACTGTAAAAAATCTTTACATAAAAAGGAACTTAGGGGAGCACCTGGGTGGCTCAGTTGGTTAAGCGACTGCCTTCAGCTCAGATCATGATCTCAGGGTCCTGGGATCGAGCCCCGTATTGGGTTCCCTGCTCAGCGGGAAGCCTGCTTCTCCCTTTCCCACTCCCCCTGCTTGTGTTCCCTCTCTCGCTGTCTCTCTCTCTGTCAAATAAAAAAAAAAAAAGGAACTTAGGATGGATTTGTCAAGAAACTGGACTTAAATGGCCAAAAGCATTGCCCTTGGCCCTTATTAATAATACTCCAAATAGGAGGCATGGATTGACACCTTTTGAAATAGTGTTTGGTTGTCCAATGCCTACTGGCACCTCTAAACTTTTCACTTGGGCATTAAGTGAGCAATGTGATGCTATGACTAACTATATACAAGGACTAACAAGTATACATGAAGCGTATCATCAACAGGTAAATGAAGCATGGCCCTCATCAACTTATGGGCCCTTTCAACCAGGGACAGGGTCTACATCCAGGTCTTTAGAAGAAAACACTGGCTGGCACCTTGCTGGGAAGGGTTCTATTAGGTGCTGCTGATGACCTACACTGCCACCAGAATAAAAGAGAAATCCTCTGGATTCATGAGAACCATACCAAAATAGACCCAGATCAACACTGCAAGACAACTGGGAGACCACCCCCTACAGGTGACCTGAAAATAAGGATTTCCAGGCTCAAGTCCCAGGTCCCAGAAGCAACGGTGCCATGATGTAGACAGCTTTTGCCAAAATCATGATCAAAAAACTTCTCTTTTCCCTACTCCCCTTTTTTAAAACTCATGTATATATATATATTCCTATATATAAATTTATATATAATATATACGATATGTTAATTATTATATAATGTAAATTTATATATAATATAAATTATTTATACAAGCATATTATAATATATTATATAAAATACTAACTAAATACTATATATATACTTTTTAATACTTTTTCCCCATTTATAGATTATTTGTTGGAAGGCTAACTGGAGAGTGCTTTTCTATCCTACTTCCTCTCTTGAAGTCTCCACTATGGATTCCTTTCCAACCTGTGTCTTGCTCTTACTAACCCTCTCTTTTTCAATAGGTCAGGCACAGACCAAACACTTCCTTATGCCAGTTTACCTGGCCACACATATAAATCAGTCTGACTATTGGCTATGTGAACATCTAGATAATGCAAAAGAACCTGAAATGGTCTTCATTCCTGCAGATGTGAACACCTGGTTGTCTGAACGTGGTAGATGGATAGATTGCAAGGTGTGGTATCTATAGCCAGAGGAACATCACTCCCTCTGCCTTTTTACCTGGTGAACTACTTGGGCTCCAGAAAATCTCTACAGAAGCTCAAAGACTATCAAGAAACTTCTCTTTTCCCTACCACCCCTCCTAAAAAATTTCTGAAAAGTTTTTCTGAAAAAATAAAACTGAAAAATTTCCCTTTTGCATTGAAAACAGATGTCTGTTTCAATGGACTGGGACTGGACTTCTTCTGAGAGATACACCAAAACTTTATAGCTACCTAATCCTGTGGTTTGATACTAAAAATATCATCTTTAAACTTAGCAAGGAGATTAAAAATAACTCTAGCATAGACATTTGCCAAATCACCAGATGTTTTACAGATCAACGTACAACATGAGGTATCTTAGCTACCCGCCTCGTTAGACCACCGAATTCCACAAACTGTATTTGGGTCAATCAAAATTCTGGACTTACTTGGCTAGGTGACAAAACTAAGCTTTATCACTGCCAGAACCAAACTACGGGCCTCCTACATCAGCTACTCTCATATACTGACAGGACCACATGAAAAATGGAGATGTATGAATGTATGAATGTTAACATTATCAAAGGTCATGGAACACTCCACACTTGAAAGTTCCAAACTAACCCTGTCTATAAACTACACTGGTCTTATTTTATGCGGCAACAAGGTCTACAAAATATTCCCACCTACTTGGTCAGGACGATGCAGACTTAGATACCTGGCTCCATTTGTTACTAAGTACTTCACCCTAAATGCCAGCCAATTACAAACTTGGGCTTCTTTGTCCATAAAATTGTGCTACATAAACGTGCCCATCAAGAAATTGTAGAAAATCCACTGTCATATCAATTCCAAGTTCTTTCAGTGTTAAGTCTCTTATTCCCAAATTTTGGGGATTATAAATTAGAAAAAGCAAACCTAAATCTCTCTGTGGTGATGGGACAAGAATTCAATACCACTATGCAAACTTTGAAAATACTCCAATCAGAAGTTAAAAGTTTAGCCTCTGTGGTACTCCAAAATCATCATGCTCCAGATCCACTGAGTGCCTCTGCAATCACTGGTGAAAAGTTTTGCTTCTATGTAAACCAAATGGGCCAAATAATATCTAACGTGAATCAGTTAAAAGAAAGAATTAGATAAATTTTCATTAGATAAATGAAGCACAGACTTTCTATTGGACCAATCTATTTCCGGGTTTAGGGAATTTGGTTTAATGGGATGTGGGGAATTGTGCTCCATTTGTTCTTTTCTGTTTATTCATCCTCATTCTAGCCTGTGGCCTTTCTGTTCTTTGCAGATTTCTTAATCTTTGCAGATTGGTTTCTTCCTCCTCAGTCACCAGCTCAGCTTTAATATGAGAAACTTTCAGAGAAACATCCAGAGGATGGAACTGTAGGGGCCCAGGGTAGGCTACCCCCAAATATACCACAATGGTAGATCGATTACTTCAAATTAAAGCTACTTAAATAACAGCCTGCGCTAGAAGGACACTCAGACTCTCCTCCATTCCCCTGAAAGCAGGAAATACTTCTCCATGTGAAAAGTACCCCCCCCCCTAGCAGGAGGTAAAGAGACACCCTTATCACCAGAGGTGGGAAATTTAGAGCAGAGAAGTCTGTCTAAACAACTCTTGTTACTTTTTACTAATTTTACTAATTTACCACCCCTGCCCAAACTTTGCTTAGAATCCCTTACTAATTGAAGCTCCTAAGGTTGTTTTCTTTGTCTTGTTAATGCCTGTCTAAAATGAGTAAAATTTGCCTGTCTTGGTCACTTCTTTGGGCCTCGGTGTCATTCCTGGGCCTCCGTGCACACGTAATAAAACTTTGACTTTTTCTACTGTTAATCTGTCTCATGTTGATTTAATTCTTAGTCTGGCTGGAAGAATTTCTACTCTTGAAGAGTAGAAAAGAATTTTTCCAGCCTGTCAAAAACAAGCAGTGCTACATCAGGGCCCAGATGACAAGGGGAGACTGAGCTGAGATCGGACATGCTCATCTTTCCCAGTACATTTACAAGCAAGGGAAAAGCAGGCTAGAACAAGATGGTGAGGAGATTATTTTATTGTTTTGCTTCAGGTAGGGGACTGCCAAGGAAATTATCTGTGGAATGGCATAGGAATTACTATCTGGGGTTCCCAGGGCAGGCCGCAAACATGGGATCAGAGTTCAGAAAATGAGTTTTTAAGAGAGGACACAGATATCCGGATTTCAGGTAAGAAGTATCCTCAAGAACAGAGTTTGAAGTCTTCACTAAAATGTCTCAGCAGCACAGGTAGAGCAACGGAAGATGACCTTGCCCCTTTCTGCCTCTATTTCTGTGCTCCTTGGCTTAGGGTCCACTTCAGCAGCAGCCTCCAGACAACTGACCGCTGCCCCCTCCACAGCAGCTGGAGCCCCCCGAGGGCTGGCTGCAGCAGCCAGAGCTCTGGTGTCTGTGACGATGGGACCTGTGTCGCCTGTGGTGGCTCAGGCAGCAGCCGCCGTCCCCAGAGCTGCAGCAGCCGCCGCCCCCAGAGCTGGAGCCACAGCAGCCCCCAGAGCTGCTGTTGCAGCAGGAAGAGACTGGGGGGCACTTGGGGGGGCATTTGGGGGCGGGGCACTTGGGAGGGGGCTGGCACTGCTGCTGGTTCTGCTGGCAGGACATCTCAGCTGGTGGGGTCAGGATCTGAGGGAGAGTCACACAGCGAGTCAGACCCAGGACCCAGAGCCCTGCTGCCCCTTCCTGTTCTTAGCATCACTTCTAGTGCCCTTATTGTGAAAGTCTTGAGATCAGACATAGAAAATCATCTCTGACAATTTTATCACTCTTACTGGTGTACCATGTGCCTTGTTTCACAGAGTCACTTTCAATTCCATTTGGAATGTTGTCAACAGTATCATGCCCAAATATGTAGAGAAAATTAATGCTTATTAACATTTCCTTAGCGTCAGAGAAAACACCAGGAAATAAATTTGCTCCAGGCAAGCTTTCATTTTCTCACATCACCAAGAATCTTGCAGACATCTAGTGTAGGGACCATTTTAGCACTGAAAGTCTCTTAAAGGAAAAGGCAAAAGTATTCTCTCTTGGAAAGATTTCTGATATGTTTTGGTTTTGCAGAATATAGAAAATCATAACTGCAAAGGCCTTGGAGTCACTTTGTCCAAACCAATTCAACTTATAAATGAAGAAATTGAAAGGAAAAAAGGCAAATTCACTGGCCCAGGGCTAGTCACTAGCTTGTCTCAGTTCTGTTTCCAGACTCCCTGACTCCTAACCCAGGGCTCTAATCCACATAGTCCTTCTCCTAAGGACTGCTTCCCAGGCAAACCCCAGGGTTTCTCAGCTCCAGTGTGCCCCCAGTTCCCACTATGGACCTTCTTGTTGGAGTCTAAACAGATCCGCAGGTGTCTCTGATTCTCTCTTCTGTTAAGTACCAACATCCTCAACACACTGTCTCTGCAACTGGGTCTGGCTATATTTCCAAAACTATATTCCCACTATGCAACCACTCCAGCATAATCTAGCCATCAATGTTTCCATTCACTAAAACAAGAGAAACATACCCAGCAACTTCGAACAATCTGCTGTTTCCAAAACTCTAGTATGTAGCACACAAATCTCTTCCTAGTTGCTCTGGGTCTTTCTCACCCATCCCACCCTGGCCCTCCTGATTCAGATTTTCTTGGTCCTCATTCTTCCAACCATAGCCCAAGGCCTTGCCTACCCCCTGCCCTGGTTTGAGCTCCCTCTGTGGAAGTCTCTGTTCTCAGTCCCAGGGGACACTTACTGGTGCACAGGCAGCACTGGATCCGTCAACACCTCAGGAGAGGAGTGCTTGGAAGGGCTCTGGCCCCAAGGCCCTTTATCCTGGCCTTGGGCTCTGCCCCCAGCCTGTGAGACAGGGCCCCAGTATGACATGACCCACCTCCTGCCACCCATATGGTCCTGTGACAGGTAATGACTGGCAGCTCCTCCCTGCCTCCTTCTAGAGACCTCAAGGCATCTCTTCCCAGCTAGGAAAGTACCTGCTTATAATGCGGACTGTGGTGGGTCAAAATGAACATCCCCATTCCTGGAGTCATCTGTTGTATTTTTTTCTATGGAAGGCACCTTTTTTTCTATGGAAGGCCTTCTAGTCACATTTATGGACCTGGTCACATAGTCCCTCCTTTCTTTCTACCCTAGATAGCAATTTTTCACCTGGACCTTTGGGTTTTTTTTTTTTAAGTTTTTATTTAAATTTCAGTTAATATACAGTGTCATAATTGGTTTCAGGTGTACAATATGGTGATTCAATACTTCCATATATCACTCAATACTCATCACAAGTGCCCTCCTTAATCCCCATCACCTATTTTACCCTTCCCTCCTCCCACCTCCCCTCCGGTAACCATTAGTTTGTTCTCTATAGTTAAGAGTCTGTTTCTTGCTTTCTCTCTCTCTCTCTGTCTCCCTCTCTTCCTCTCTCTTATTTTTTCCCTTTGCTTGTTTGTTTTGTTTCTTAAATTCCACAGATGAGTGAAATCATATGGTTTCATCTAAACCTTTGAATCTACATGGCTTGGGTGAAAATCTACATGTCTAAGTTGTGAGGGGTGGTGTGTATAGCATAGTGGTTGAGAAAATAGGCTTTAGGACCTCACCAAAGTATTCAACTTCTTTGAACCTCACAATACAGATCTTTTAAATGTAGATAATGATAGAAAAGTCTTTTTTGCATGATCTACATATTGGTTAAGATGGCAAAGGGGAAGTAGGCAAGATAAGTATGTGGTACTTGGTGACACTCAGGAAATAGATGGATAGATAGACAAAAAAAAAGAGAGAAATAGATGTAAACATGGATTTTTAATGGACGGGGGAATTTTTTAGGCCATCAACACCTTTAGTAGCTACATCTTGTTCAAACTAAATGCCATTTTTTCCTCCCATATATCTCAGTGAGTTTGGTTTGATGAATGTAGATCAGGAAAGGGGTACTAAAGGTGAGCATATTGCCCATAATGCCTGAAAATTATAGCCTGAAAAGAATTCACAGTTTCCCAGGGGCAAATTGAAGGGAGGAGGTAAAATAAAAATGGAAAGGGTGAAGAGAAGGGAGCAGCCCAAGAGGTGACCTGATAACACTACTTGAAGTGGCGCTGGTCTACCTGGCATACCTAAGAACAGATGCACTCAATATTCAAGTTAAAATTGTTTACATTGTTGCAATATGAATCACCTGTGTTTCCATGCTCTAACCAACTGGAAATTCTAAAAATGAAAAACAGTCTCTGAAAAACTAAATGTGTTCAAAATTAAATACAATGTCAAAAATTTATTGGATGGTCTTAGCAGGTTGTAAACAGCAGAAGAATAGATTGGTAAATTTCAACTTGAAGAATTGAATTGAAAAGAAGGGAAAAATACAAAACAATGAACAGATGAATGGTAATCTGTTGAATTATAGCAAATAGTCCAACACTCACATATTTAGAGTTTCTGAAAGAGAATAAAGAGAGTGGGGGATATATTTTTAAATACTGATCAATTTTCCAAATTTCACATAAACTATCAAGATGAAGGCAGGCCAGGTCTGAGGACCCAGAGGGGTCCCACATGACCAGCTGAGAGGATCCCTGGCTACACACAAGATAGAAATCAAATGTGAGGCAGGAGGAAGGGAAAGCAGAGTTTTTTGAAGGCATAGAGAGAGTGCAGATACAGAGGGTCTAGGAGACTCAGAAAGGAGAAAGAGTCTCATCTTTGTTCAGGGTCTGGTATACATGTCCTGTCAGGTATCTAGGAACTGACTGGAACAAAGGTGAGAGCCCAGCTGTTATTCCTTGGAGCCACGGGGTCTTGGCATCAAGATGTCTAGTACTAGTGGTCTAGAATATTCATATGATGGCTTTATCCAGTCATCCTCACCTGGTCCTTCCTTAGATGTTATCTGTTCTAAATAAATCATTAACTCCTTGCGCCTTAGGAGGAGGACATATACATTCTGAAGCATGTACAAAGTGAGGTGGTGATGCAGGTCCTAGCAAGAATAGAAGCAGGAAAAGGAGCAAAAAGCAGAATTTTATGGAGCCCTTCAGTTTCCCTATCTCAATAGGACAAAAAACTAATACATCCCAAGCAGGATAAATAAAAAGAAAGCCAATAAGTAGTACAACATGTCCAGAAAAAGGATACAACTTAGTCTTGGAAAAGATGTGAGTGAGGGGAATTCTAAGGAAGGGTGTCTGGGAAAGATTTGTCAAAGAGGCTTTGACCCATGGAGGCTGGGGGTTGGGGGTCGAAGGACATTCCAGGGAGAAGCAGCAGTGTGAGAATAGATACAGGCAACAGGATGCAGGTGGTCTTTTGTGAGTGATCCAGCCTGACTGGATCACTCCAGGGCACATATGCTGGAGCCGGGAGAGAGAGTGAGGACAGGGGAAGACTAAAGAGAAGTAAATGGAAGGCTGGGTGGTAGGGAGACCTTTGCCAGGGTCAGTCACTTGGGTTTTATTGAATGTTTACCAGAAATCCATGGAAGGTCTTAGTTTAATTTTATTATTGCAAGATGTATGGTTGTCATTTTAGCAGGTAAGGATAATCACATTAGCACTGGGTCCCAATACGGAAGGGGACTGTGTAGGAGACCCTGGGACAGAGGACAACAGCAGCAAGGATCGAGATGAGAAAATACCACTGCCACAATCCCCTAAATGTTACTGCAGATTCACGATCCTTTATTCCATCCAAAGGTCTCTGAAAACTGAGTTTCTTGTCCAATTGTTGATGACACCCATTTGGTGGCAAAAAACTGACCTGAACTGACAGTGAGATGGCTTCACCTTACTGTGAATATTCATGTGTTTTGTTGCAGAGGTATTAATGGCCTTCTCAAAGGGGCAGGAGTCCTGAAGCCATGGGTTTGGGGGATCTGAACAACACACTGTGCCTACCCAAGATGTGGTAGACTCCTTGGTTTGACTTGCATGGTGATGGGATTGTGTATGACTAAGTCTGAAGTATGCCTGTAGTGTTACTAATAAATTCTGCTCACTGCACTACTCCTCTTAAAAAATAGTTCTGAACCTCATCTGGTACCGAGGGTTTCAGATAAGAGATTATGGTCTACAGTATTTACATTCTTTGGTCACTAGAGGAATACAGAAATCTAACATTTTCCAAGAGTATCAACTTATGGCTAATAATCACTCCTTTAACTAAGGAAGCCTTGCTGTGCCAGTTTGTCCAAATTCTGAGTTGAGCAAGGCTCAGGTTCTCTCCATTTTTAACTGACCGCTCAAGATTTTCCCAACTCAATCACACCGTCAACCTCAATTCATAATGCATTCTTATACGGTATTTTTTTTTTTTTTTACTTATTTTCAACTATTGTATTGTATTCGGTGAGGAATCCAGGAAAACAGAAATGTGGGCATGCTTACTGAACACTTTCCTAGGGCCTTTGTACATTTTTCTCTCTTTTACCTATGAATCCTATTAACCAGCCATCAATAAAAATGTATTCTTTTGGGGGCGCCTGGGTGACTCAGTCGTTAAGTGCCTGCCTTCAGCTCAAGTCATGATCCCAGGGTCCTGGGATAGAGCCCTGCATCGGGCTCCATGCTCCATGGGAAGCCTGCTTCTCCCTCTCCCACTCCCCCTGCTTGTGTTCCCTCTCT